TTTTTCATATATATATATATATATATATATATATGTATATATACATGAATATTCCTCACTTCTTTGGCAGACGCAATCTCATTGGATTGTGTGAACCTGTCCAGGCATACCGGAGATGAGTAATACCATGTGGAGCATTACACTGCCGAGATGTACCAATCAATAGTCTGTTTTCCATTAATATTTTGGGGTTTTCCACGACGCTAACTCATTAAGGAAATGAGTCCAAAAGCCACCTCCATCATCGTTGTCATCATCAACGACAGCATGACATCAGTGTTCAACACGGATGATGCACTACCGTACAGCCATGATTTATTTGAAAGCCATACTGTGAAGAAAGGAATAAAGGTGGACGGGAAAGGGACTTCGGGCTGGCTCACTACAATTATTCCGAGGCGCTTACACCTCTAGACGGTCATTCAGACAATCAGGACAGAAAATGACAACAAGAACGCCATCGGCATCGGTTAGCAGGCTTATCTTGCAGTGTCCTCAACCAGGAGCACTGGAAAACAATATTTCAGAATAAACGATGCACGGCCTAAACATCACAGATTCTGGTGCTGGACACATGCATCAATCCAATGAAAAGGCAACTTGCCTTGCGTTCCTTGAGATTCAGGGATACACCACTATGACAGCACAGATTTCTCAGATTAGCAAATGCGACCCGGCCCCTGCGGATTAATGCACTGATCTTATCTGTCACACTACAAGCAGAACTAATACGGCTACCAAGATACGTAAAAAGCTCCACAAATGCCAACTGGATTTTAAGTTGCTCGCGTTCAGTGACGGCACGTCAACGAGCATGACCGTAGACTTTGTGGGTGCAAAGTGCATACGACAAAAAAAAGTGACCTTTCCTGCTAGAAAACGAGGAGGATTTTGCCCGCGAATTCTAGATCAACGAGGTTTACGTCTTAGTCGATTTGAACACCGGGGTTTTGAAGGACTGCCAGCGTTAGTCTCACTATTTCATCAATCACGAAGTAAAATAAAAGTAGAGAAGGCAGGTACCCCTTTCAGTCACCGCTTTGTAAACGGAGGCTTTTGTGGGCAGCTTTCT